TTTTTTATTTTTAAAAGTTGTTCACAATAATTTATTACATTCAATAGTCCGACACCAAACTCACCACCATTATTTCGAATTTTTCCAACCACCACGTAAGCCTGCCCCAATAGAAGACCTAAATAATTTATTTTATATTGCTTGCTCCGCCCCTCTCAGAGAGCCTGGCAAGCTACCGAGAGTATCTTGTCTGCACGGCAAAGCCTGGCAAGCTACCCATGATGTATTCGATATGCCAAACACAGTAACAAGTCTCAGAATGTTAATGTGTCCGCTTGAGCAAATCGATGAACAACAGGAGGACAGTGACAGTGACAGTTATAAATAATCCGCCAAAAATGATCAAAAAGTTTCCTTAGAAGAAAGTATGTGAAGATTGTTGTATCTCAGCCTAGAGCTGTTAAGCACTTGTATACGAGATTTACTAACATGCTGTTACAGGTTGATCCTTGTGTGCTGTCACTGTCACTGTCCTTCCGTTGTTCATCAATTTGCTTGAACGGGCCCAGTAACGTCTCCATTGTGTGACAATTGTTACTGTGTTTGGCATGTTGAATACGTCACGGGTAGCTTGCCAGGCTTTGCCGTGCGTGCGAGATACTCTCAGTAGCTTGTTGGGCTCTCTGAGTTCGGAGGAATCGAACTCAGGTTGGCCATGTTGGACGCTTGCAAGGCAAACGCACTACCCGCTGTGCTATCTCTCCAGCCCCTTGTGTGCTAACAAATATATATTGTACATGTAATAGAGATCAGTTGCCTTCTACTTTATACCTCATACAATAATGTGATGTACTATTTCTGGTATATCAGTGATACGGTATGAGATGTCATGGGGTCACAAATGCAAGAGCTCACATTAGGAATTCTAAAATTTTATACAGCTGGAGATAAATGCAACTGGATAGTGTCTTTGGGGTCTGGAGGTATCTCTGCAACTTGTTGATCTCCCAAGATTTGTGTGTCTCTGGCTCATGGATGTTACAGAGTTTATATGGCGCCAGAGGCAGTTTGTAGGTGTGACTGCCAGGCTCCCAGAAGAAAAAGGAGATGAGTTCTGGGGATTTTTGGCTGGTGGGGTTCTGTTGGGGTGAGTTAGTCCCACTACTTTCTCTTTGTCTCCAGCCTGCCCAGTTTTATTCTTGGGCTTAAAAAAGATGATGAGGCTGCAGAGATGCCTTTAAGCCAGGCCAATTTCACCAGGGTGTTTCAGATGGAGGCAGGCATCGTCCCCCACCTGCCTCCTAAGAACCCCGACTGCTGCCAACTTCTAGAACCCAATGAAAAGTGCAGGTACGTGGGTTCAGTGACAGTAAGCTCCAGGCCTCAAGGGATAGGGGATGGGCCAGTCCTTCTCATCCCTCCATCCCCATGGCACCCTGTAGGTCATGCCCATGAACTGCCTCTTGACTGCTGTTTAAGCTCCTTAATGTCCATGATCCAGAGACACACAAAGGAATCTCGAACCGAGCAGCTCACTGCAGAGATTTCTCCAGATCCTAATTACTTATAATTTTAGAAATCCAGGAGCGTATAGCCATGAGACATCTTACGCTATTCATAAAAAGCAATACAAAATAAATTAACATTGACCTTTTGGGCTGGTTTGCATGGTGGTGGGAAAATTCAAAATAATAGTGGTGGGAAGATGTAATGGTGGTGGGACTAGTGTGAAAATAGTGAATCAATCACGGTCATGGTCCTCCCGTTTTTCATCGATTTGCTCAAGCGGGCCCAGTAACGTCTCCATCGTGAGACTTGTTGTTACTGTATTTGGCATATCGAATACATCACGGGGAGCTTGCCGGGCTTTGCCGTGTGGGCGAGATACTCTCAGTAGCTTGACGGGCTCTCGTAGAGGGGCGGAGGAATTGAACCCGGGTTGGCCATGTTGGCTATGTGCAAGGCAAATGCCCTACCCACTGTGCTATTGCTCCAGTCCAAAATAGTGAATGTAATCCATTATTGTGAACAAATTTATGAAAATAAATTTAAAAAAATGATGAACAGGAAAATTGGTTAGTTTTGCCAGTGGAAGAAAGAAAAGATGAAAAAGGGTCATAAATATGATTTCTGTGAGTTCAAAATATGGGTGCATGACGCATGCTTTCTGTGACCATGAACTGCCTCCCTATCCTGGCCAGCTGACAAAAACTGATGAATGAAGGAGGGAACGGGGGTCTCCAGGCTGGTTAGTAATCAGTCACCGTTTATTCTAGTCTCATTGTACTGCTATTCTAGTCTCACAGCATTAGTTATAGAGAAATCAATGAAGCGTTGGTGGTAGCAATTACACATAGGTGTGGTTGCACAATGCACAGATGTCAGCCCTTCAGGGGAAGCTTTTCTTGGACAGAATCTCATCTTGATAGGAAATCTGTCCAAGGGCAAAATTCCATCCAAGGGCATATTTCTCCATCCCTTAGCCCATATCCATTTAAACAGTCATCTTAAATTTACTTCTTAATAATACTTTGAATCATTTTGTATGGACACAGTAAGAGATAAGTTAAGCTTAAAGGGTGGCTCTTCCTGGGCACATTTCACTATATATCCCAGACTACTGTCCTCAAGCCAGGTTAGTCTTTCTTAACCCCAGCAGGTCCTTACCCAGTAGGGTCCTTTTGGGTCATGACAGAGTTTATCCATGAGTGTGCTCTAACTTATATGTTTTATGGCGCTTGGCCTGTTTCTTTTCTTTTTTCTTTTTTTTAAGATTTTATTATTGAATCACTGTGAGATCTTTACAGAGCAATTCATAATTAGGTTTTGATCATAGTGTTCCAACATCCATCCCTTCACCAGTGTACATTTCCCAGCACCAGTGTCCAATTTTCCTCCCAGCACCTCTCACTGCCCCATCCCCCACAGCCTGCCTCCATGGCAGGCCTCCTCCTCCTCCTCCTCCTCCTCCTCCTCCTTCTCCTCCTCCTCCTTCTCTTCTTCCTCTCCTCTCCTCCTCCTCCTCGTCCTCCTCCTCCTCCCCCTCCTTCTTCTCTCTCTTCCCCCACTTTCCTCTCCTCCCCTCCCTCTCCTCTTGCCCTCTCCTTCTCTTTGTGGTTTGCAGTACAGATACTGAATGTAGTATATCACTTTACCAACTATTAACACTCATTTCTTGTCCAGTGTGATCATTTCCGGCTATTATCATTATTCTGGTCCCTTCTCTGTCTTATCTACCCTTTCCATACACACACACACACTTTTAGTTGATTCCCTGTTTTCCCTGGCTTTGATATGTCTTCTACCATACATATTTTTTATATACTACAAATGAATGCAGTCATTCTATCTCTGTCCCTTTCTGAACCTGTCCCTGGATAGACCCAGGTTAGCTGACGGCTTGCCCTGGGTCTATCCAAATCCCTCACCATGACCTTCCTTTTTGGGTGTTAGGAATTAAGGGCAACTGAAGCTTAAGTCGAGTAAATATGACACATGCCCAGGAGTAAATATATTCGGAGTCAGTTCCCAGGTTACAAAAGCATAACATTAACTGTCTTCCTATGTCTATACAAAAGGACATTCCTCTAAAGTAAACTATGCAAAGGACATAAAGAGAAAAGTGATATTTCATTTGCATATATAAAATCCAGAGTCCTCAGAAGAATCTGACTTTACAAGTCACATTCTTGTAGTGATTAACAGATAGGGGAAGCAGAGCACAAAGGAGAAGTCAAAGAAAAACAGAGGAATAGGAATGCCTGGTGAGCACTGTGATGGGTATTACTCAATAAACCTAAGCTCCCTGCAGCAGGGGAGAAAGGACAAACAAATGTTACTCAGCTGATTTCTTAGCAGTTTAAACCTGAAGACAAGCAAGGGACTTTTTTCTCAGGTTAAAAAAGAATACTTTCCCAAATGTTCCATATGTTCCCTTCACAATGAAATTATAGACCCAAAGATCTCTACTAGCTTTGAGGAGTGAGGTAACAAACTGTTCATGAGGAAAAGTTTTTCTTAGAAGATTTCTAGCTAATAAAAAAGGAATGAGAAAATCCTCAGTTTGCAACTGCTGGTGGAGTCAAGGGTGTCTAACAGTCATCAGTGATTGCTGAAGCTTTAGATTGGTAGTGTGGCAGATTTGACTTGACAGCCTGAGGTCATAAGGAAAGTGGAGAAGATTTTTCTGAATGTGCTGCCTCTAGAAAGCTCGGTACCACTTAAGTTACTGTTAAAACAGTGCACTTGATTTGAATCATTCCTTAGTATCTTTGTCTTTCCTAAAGGATAATGTAAGGGAATATGAGAATGTCAGGTAACACCAAAAAGGGAAAGCAATCGTCAATTCAGAATGTGGGAAATTTTACCTGTTCAGTGACCAGGTTCCTTCTGCCGTTGGTATTTAAACAGGGTATTTAAAAAAGGTATTTAAAATTGGCATTTTCTCTTAGAATTATGTCAACCAAGTCTGTGTGCATTTTGTTCTGTCCCTGATTCAAATAGGTTTTTCAGTGTGAGCTTAAGGTTGTGATACAATGAAGGAATTTTGGTTATGGGTGACAATGGTCTGATAAGAATACTTTCATTAGAATTATCTATTACCTGTTGTCTACAGGTAAAGTGAAGCTGAAGCTTGCGTAAATAAAACAGCACCATAACCCTCTTCCCCATGAAAAAATGGGTCCAGCGAGACCTTGCATGATGCTGGTCTAGGTCCCAGTACCACATGGTCCCCCCATACCCAGAAGGACCCGGATGTCCCCAGCACTGTAACCTTGGGCCCATGCATTGATACTCAGGAAGCAGTTCTCCTGATCACTGTTTGGGATGCCTCCACCAAAAAAGGTAGTTTGGGAGGAAGCAGTGACAGAGCAGTGGTAAAGGTGGATAAATTTATTAATAAGTTTGGTAACTTTTTGGAGAGAACAGAAATTTCAAAGCAGGCAATTAGGGTAAGTTGTAGCACTGTCCTCGCATTGTTCATCGATTTGCTCGAGTGGGCACCAGTATTAAAGATATTTTTTTTGTGATATGGATCTATAATCTCTTCATTTTTGCAGATTGAAAAGGTTTATAAGAATGGGTGCCATGTCATATTGTTCCCAAATGGAACCAGGAAAAAAGTGAGCGCCGATGGGAGAACTGTTACCATCACTTTCTTCAATGGTGATGTGAAGCAGCTCATGCCAGACGAGAGAGTGGTAGGTGTCTGGGAGCTCTTTGGCTTCCTTCCAGTGTCACATCACTGGAGACAGGCAGATTGACATTGTCTTTACAGATCTACTACTATGCAGCTGCTCAGACCACGCACACCACCTACCCAGAGGGGCTGGAAGTCTTGCATTTCTCAAGTGGACAAACCGGTAAGAACTTGTTTTGTCCTCTTAGTACGCCCTGCCTTTAAACGTAAAATACTTATAGAAACCTTGTCTTTAAAAAACAGAAAAGCATTTTCCAGATGGGAGGAAAGAAATCACATTTCCTGACCAGACTGTCAAAAATTTATTTGCTGATGGACAAGAGGAAAGCATTTTCCCAGATGGTACAGTTGTTCGAGTACAACGGTATGAAGCCTGTTAAATCTGTTTCTAGAATTTCCTGTTTGTATGGTTCCATTGTAGATGACCTATGTGAAGAGGCGAGAGGCAGTGCCTGGAATCCAGGACTGATGAATCCGTACGGAGCCCTGCATGGTGCAGACCTCATGGCTCACCAGCTGCAAGAGGCCATTGTCACACTGCACTTGGATTCCACTGGTCCTCTTGGGGTGGGAAATGATCCCTCACCCGAGTTCTTGAGGAACCGTGGAAACAAGGCTGGAGTAAGGAATTGCTCTTTGCAGGAAAGTCATTCAGTCCTAAATTCTACCCAGTTCTTCCAGTTCCATCACCTTTCCTCGCAGTAAGAGTTTTCAGGAGGAGATGACCAGTGAAGTAAAATAGTGTGATTTAGAGATTATGAGGAAGCAAAGAATAAGCATTCAGAGGGGAGAGTGGAGAGTAGTGGAGATGTAGGCCCCACCCCTCAGAATGAGAGGTGCCCCGCTTTTTTTTTTTTTTAATTTTTATTAGTGAAACACCATGAGGTACAGTTGTAGACTTACAAATTTTTGTGCTTGGGTTTCAGTTATACAATGATCGAGTACCCATCCATCCACCAGTGCCCATTCTCCTCCACCAATGATCCTAGTATCCCTCCCACCCCCCATCCCCCCATCCCAACCTGCCTCTGTGGCAGGGCATTCCCTTTTGTTCTCTCTCTCCTTTTGGGTGCTGTGGTTTGCAAACGAGGCATTGAGTGGCAATCATGTTTGGTCTATAGCCTACTCTCAGCACGCATCTCCCATCCTGGGAGGATCCTCCCAACACCCTTTATTTGGTGCTCCCTTCTCTATCTGAGTTGTCTTTTCCCCTAGCATGTGCAGCTGGCCTCCAAGCCATGGAGTAAACCTCCTGGTACTTACCTCAGCTTAGGTTAGTCTCATACAATTAGGTTAGTCTTGGGTGTTAGTCTCCTATTTTGTTCCTTTATGTTCCCCAGAAGAATGCAATCTTTCTATGTCTTTCCTCTCTTTTTGACTCATTTCACTTAGCATGATACTTTCCATGTAGTACCACCTGTATGTAAATTTCATAACTTCATCTTTTCTAACAGCTAAGGTGCCCTACTTTTGCAGAGTTGGTTTAATTTTATTGTGTCCAGCCATAATGCTTTTTGATTACTTTATGATTAGTAATAGTAACTCCTTTAAAAATTCTGTCTTGGTTTATTACTTGCCAAGAACTCATTGTCAGGTGCCTATCTGCCTTCCTACTTCAAATCAATTTTTATTACCAGTTGAATTTTCACTGTCACTGTCACTGACCTCCCGTTGTTCATCGATTTGCTCGAGCAGGCCCAGTAACATCTCCATTGTGACACTTGTTACTATGTTTGGCATACTGAATACGTCATGGGTAGCTTGCCAGGCTTTGCCTTGCGGGGGGAGATACTCTCGGTAGCTTGCCGGGCTCTCCGAGAGGGGTGAAGGAATCGAACTCGGGTTGGCCATGTTGGATGCTTGCAAGGTAAACTCCCTACTCACTGTGCTATTGCTCCAGCCCAGGTGAATTTTAAAACTGTTTAATCATGTATATTCTTAGAAATTCCTCTCAGTTTGAGGCAAAAAAAAAGATACTTTAAGAACAGGTGAGGAAAGCTCTCCACATTTTAAAATTAGTAAACAGGCAGTGATACTTGGTGTTTAATCTGTAATAAAGAGTCCCCGTAGCACTCTGAGAAGGGCAAGTATTTGTTTAGAGGTGAGTATGATAAGATTTGAAATCAGGGATTGAGACATGAAGGAAACCTACCTAATTGTATGAGCAACCAGACAGTGATAGCAAATATTTCAGTTAGCCTCTTATTTATTCTGATTCTCTGTACTCCCCCAATTTGAGAAACAGATTACTATTTAGTTGCCCTGACCCACTTTTTAATTTTTTTTAAATCAGCAATCTTATTATTGTTTTCATAAAGTATTAACAGTTTAGACTTCACTTGTCTTCTTCAATCCATGATAAAGAGATTTCTACACTGAGCATTTTAATTAAAGCTGTGGTGGTGGTTTGTCAAATCCAGTGTACTGTTTTTAATTTTACCCATCTTTCCTAATTGTATGACAAATAATCATACATCATTAACCTTAAAACAACTAATGTATTATAGATGCAGCATTTAACTGACCTGTATTCTATGATTCTGTAAGTTTTATCCAAACCACACACACACCAAAAATGTAATAATACAAATTACCTTTGTATTTACAAATACAAATACAAATTGAAGTGATGTAGAGCTTCGTGTGTTTGCGGTCTTGTTTTTCCCTTTGTTGTCACTGGAGAGAGTATGGATGCTAGCGGCAGGCAGTCTGTGTCCACCCTTCTGTCTTAGACACACTGTAGAAAAGACTCCAGAAGAGAGAGTGGAAATAGTTGTTCTTAGCCAAGATAAGAGAAATGGGAGGGAGAGACCAGGAGTAAAGGCGAGTCACTAGTAAAGCAGGCCACAGTAGGCAGCTCCTGAGTGGGAGTGGAGTGCTGTAGTGAGCTGGGGTGGCCTGCTGGTGGGGTTCCCCACTGCTTTGAGAAGCTGACTGTAGAGGGTTCCTCCCTACACAGCCTTAGCGTGAGTTGAAGGTTGTATGTAAGGAGCAGTTAAGTGCTTTCATACTTGGGCAGCTCTGATCTCCTCAGTCTAACCGAGAGTTTGCTCCTCATGGACTCCATATGGGCTGGAGCGATAGCACAACGGTAGGGCATTTGCCTTGCAAGCGGCCAACAGGGGCGACTGGAGTTCGATTCCTTCGCCCCTCTTGGAGAGCCCGGCAAGCTACTGAGAGTATCTTGCCCGCACAGCAAAGCCTGGCAAGCTCCCTGTGATGTATTGGATATGCCAAACACAGTAACAATAGTCACAATGGAGAAGTTATTGGGCCCGTTCGAGAAAATCGATGAACAACAGGAGGACAGTGACAGTGGACTCCATATGTGTCTGTCTGTACTTTGTCCTGGGATGGCAGCAGGTACCTAGCATTTTGTGCAGCAGGTCCTGAAACAACACATTTGGATTGTTTCATGGCTTTTTGTCTTTCCCGAAATTTACTAAGGGGCTGCCTACTTGCCTTAACATGGTCTGAAACTTTATAATAACGAGCTTGCATTTGTTCTAAAATTTAAGGAGCAAGAGGTTAAAAAAAATATTTTTTGAGGAAATTAATGTATAAACAGTAATATACTTAACTTCAGAAGCTTTTAACATTTTTTATTTATGTTTGAAATTTTAAAGTCTAGGTTCTTAAATTTTAGTGTAATTAAAATCACCTGGAGGAATTCCAGTGTATATTGCTGGGCCCCACCCCAGTGACTTAAGAGTTCTAATGAGTTCTCATGATATGGGACCAAGGCTATACTCAAAGATAAGCAGTGGGGCTTCTAGAAATTCTAATACTGGGAACATGGACCGTCATTGTATTTGGTGAAAATTTGAGAACTGGCCAAATTTCACACACAGCCAGTCTGTGATCTGTTTTCCCTATTGTAATTTTTTGTTCCATTTGTTTCCAAATAGCTTTGAAATCTTATCAGGAGTTTCCCCAAGAGCAGCTCTTTCTTCTCCAGTCTGATTTAAAAAAAAACAAAAGCAAGCTTAAAGTGACTTTTTTACTTAATAAAAAGCAACAAGTTAGAATTGAATTCTTTTATTTCAGTCAAGTGCCTAAATATTTTTAGAGGCAATAGTACTGTACCTCTGTAGCACTGTCCTCCCATTGCTCACTGATTTTCTCGAGTGGTACTAGTAACATCTCCATTGTGAGACTTGTTGTTACTGTTTTTGGCATACTGAATACGCCACGGGGAGCTTGCCAGGCTCTGCCATGTGGGTGGGATACTCTCGGTAGCTTGCGAGGCTCTCGAGAGGGATGGAGGAATCAAACCTGGGTCGGCCACATGCAAGGCAAATGCCCTACCTGCTGTGCTATCACCCCAGCCCGTTAGAGGCAGTACACACATAAAATTGAAAAACCAGGGCTGGGGACTGGAGTGCATGCAGGAACTGGGGTTTAGTCCCTGGAACTGCATGGTTCCCCCAGCACATCCAGATGTGCACACTCCCCACTCTCCAAAAAAGGGGAAAACAGAAAAACACCAAAGACATTTATTAAGACAGATTTCTGTGTAGGAGATAAGGTGGTTGCCTTGCATGCAGCTGACTCTGCTTTGATACCTAGCATCACATGTGATTCCTAAGCACTGGAAGTAGTCATTTCTGAGCACAGAGCTAGGATAGCTTTGGAGAACCACTGGATGTGGCCTCAAAATTAAAAAAGTACAAACATTTAAAAATTAATGAAATAAGCTACTTATTGGCTAATTTGACTGCTGGGACTAAGCAGGCTGCAGAAGTACCATGGAGAGAATGTGCAGGGGGAAAACTAGGAATGTGTTTAAGAGGGGCTAGAGCAATAGGACAGTGGGGAGGGCATTTGTCTTGCATGCTGCAGACCTGAGTTTGATGTCCACCATCCTGTTTGGTCCCCTGAGGGTGCCAGGAGTGATTTCTGAGTGCAGAGCCAGGAGTAATCCCTGAGCATTGCCTGGTGTGTGGCTCAAAAAAAAAAAAAAAAACAAAACAAAGGAATGTGGGTAGGAGAGGAAATAAGTGCCATAATCAAGGGGGTGGAGAAATATCATAGTGGGTAGGTCATCTGACTTGCACACCGCTGAACCTGGTTCAATTCCCAGCATTCCATATGGTCCCCTCAGCATTGCCAGGAGTGGTTCCTGAGTGCAGAACCAGGAGCAACCCCTGAACATCACCAGTTTTGGCTCCAAACTGCCCCCCACCAACCCTCTGTCAACAAAAAAGAAAAATAAAAAGGCCATAATCAAAAAGCTACTTTAAAAAGGGAATCTGCCTGCCACAGAGGCAGGGGGAGTGGGGGGAAGAATGGGGCGGGTTGTAGGAGGGATACTGGGAATATTGGTGGTGGAGAATGGACACTGGTGACTGAAACATAAGCACGAAAGTTTATAAGTCTGTAACTATGTCACAGTGATTCATTAAAAAAAATTAAAATTTTTTTTTGATATGTTAAAAGTGTCAAACAATTTTAATGACACGTTAAAATGATTTTTCTCTAGTATATGTTACACTTTTAATTCTATTTAAAACACACAGAGATGGCAACAAAATCATCGAGTTTAATAATGGCCAAAGAGAACTCCATACTACACAGTTCAAGAGACGGGAATATCCAGACGGCACTGTTAAAACCGTATACACAAATGGCCACCAAGAGACAAAATACACATCTGGTCGAGTAAGAATTAAAGACAAGGACGGTAACGTTATAATGGATACAAAATTATAATGGTCCTTGAGTGACTAATCATGAAATAACACTAATTTAATTTTGTTGAAAAATGTACATTTATTTCATGTACGTTCTGTTGTTTATTTTGTATGTACTCTTGTGTGTATGTGAGTGTGTGTCTGTGTGAGTCTATGTAAATGGAAAAGATTGCTTGGATTCTAAAATAAAACTCATCGTTTCTTAATTTTTAATCCTTTGAAGTGGATAAGAGCAACATTAATTTTTAATCTACCCTAGTCTGTCACTTTACTGTCTGGTTTTTGACTTGCTTTGTTACAAACTATATATAGACTTACTAAAGATAAGTGGGTACATTTATTGGTTGTAGATGGTTATAAAAACTAAGAAAAGCAAGAACTACCTGATCATAATTTCCTACAGTGACCACCAGCTACAGAACCAGGATTTGCATAGAATGTTTATTCAAAGAATAAAGTAAGTTTTACAGGGGCCAGAGAGATAGTACATTGAGTAAGGTACTTGTCTTGCTTGAGGCCAACTTACGCCAGGTGTGGGCCGAAAACAAAACAAAAAATTTCCAGTCGAAATAATATAATATTAGTGTATGTCCAGTTAGTACCCAAATGAAACTATTTTTTAATATCTAATTTATTTTCATAAAAGTAGTTCACAATAATTCATTACAGATAATATTCAAACACCAATGCCACCACTGAGCACCTTCCCACCACAACAAGAGGGAAGTGTGTGAAGCTTGTTGTATTATATTCTGGAACCATTTAAGTCCATACAGAAGAGAATACAAGCAAGTATGTTAAAACCAAACAAATGTGTGCTATTTCTGGCACATAAGTGGGCTAGAGTATAAGAGGTCAAGGACATTGATGAGATTACATGGTGCTGGGGGACCAGCTTGTGGGTGTGACTGCCAAGCGACTGGAAAACTGGGGAGCTGGGGGAAAAGGCCCAGTCCCGATCCAAGCGGACTTGGAGATATCAGTCATGGGTCCCGCATACCTGGGTTTTTCTGCCGGTTCCCCCCCTTGGGTGAGGCTCATATGAGCGTGTGGAGAGTGGCCTTGAGCATGGCAGCAGTTGAGTTCTGGAGGTTTTTGGCTGCCGGGGTTCTGCTTGGGGTGGGGAGGAGAACTCAGCTCGCCCCCCTCCGAGGTGACCTGGTGAAGACAGCCTGGTGCGGGGGCAGGACATTCTGCCAAAATTAAACTTTCATATCCTACAGATGTTTTTAAATTTTAATGGAGTAGTAACTTTAAGGAATGCCTATATTGCAGTCGGTCAAATACTAAAACAAGAATTCACTTATATTGGTAGAGAAAACCTGACTGTTGAGCAAACAGTTATGATGAGGTTAACTGTAACTGGTCAAAATGAGACTCTTGAGGGGTCATGAACAGAAGAAAGATGGAAGGCACATCATCTACATGTAAATTTGTAGAGTAGTTATAGGTTGTTCTACTCAGTTATAGTTAGCTAACACGAAAGCTAAAGTATTCCAGGTGACTTAAGAAATGGATATAAAAAAAGCTTAAAAGTTTTTAAAGATATTAAGGAGCTACCTGTACTGTTACCTCAGAACAGAGACTTTAAAGGAGACACTGACCGCACAGACCTTAATTAATGGCTGAGTTTGCATGTCCAAAGAAGCCACAAGAAGAGAAAAAGCCATAAAGTAAGAAAAGACACACATAACTGGGAAAGGATTAATATCCAGAATATATACAAAGTAAAAAGAAAAGAACAAAAAGAATTCTTACAGATAACATAACTGGAAATAATTCAAGAGGAAAATATATAAGGCTTTGATTGTTGTTTGGCCACATTCATTGGTAGTAGGAGTCACCACTTCCACATTCATTGGTAGTAGGAGTCACCACTTCCAGAGGTGCATGGGGTGAAATCTGGGGGTCCTGTATGCCAGGCACGTCCTCCAAATCTTTGAGTCACTTCTCCAGCTCCTCCCAAAACACGCAGTAGTTCTCAGGGGCTCTTGTGCTCAGGGTATTATTAGCCAGTGCGGGGCTGGCTGCATGCAAGACAAGACAAACACCCTAACTTCTGTACTCTCTGCCCCTCTCCCCCAATATGTGTAATATATATATATTTTTTGGGGGTGGGCAACCACACCTGATGATGCTCAGGGTTTATGCCTGGCTCTACACTCAGGAATTACTCCTGGCAGTGCTCCAGGAGCCATATGAGGTGTGAGGGGTTGAACCTGGGTTGGCCACGGGCAAGGCAAATGTCCTCCCCGCTGTACTATTATTCTGGCCCCTCCCCCTAAAATATTTCTTAAGCTTAATATACATTGTATATAACTGAATTTATGGTAAATAAAATGGGATAAATTATTATTTTCATATACCCAAAGTAATTTATTTGAAATTATAGTAAACAAGAAAGTATTTTTAAAAAAACCTTTGCTTTTCAAACAACTAAGAACAGTTCAACATGTAATGGGGGAAAAAGAAAGCACCGCCATTGCAGAAAAAATTAGAGAAAAACGTTTAAATAACAGAAACTTTTCTTCTAGGCTGTTGTATTTTCTCTGTACAGTATACCTGAAAAACAAAATGTGCTCATTTAAACCTTTGCTTACTATTAAGTCATTTGCTATATTTATGTGAATGGATAAATAACAGGTTTACCCAACTATCTTTAATGACCTTGTTAGGAAAACACTGATGTTCAGTGGTGCTACACTACAGTTATGCTGTGCTGAAACTGTATGCAGTACCCATTGGACCTGCTCTCTAAGCTGTGCCCATCTGGAATTATGAATTGTCAGGGTAGCCATTCTAAACACTTACAGATGAGTACCCTCTTCTGATGCTGTTGCCCAACAGGTGAGGACTAATGAAGAAGAAATTTTGAAGGCTCTTGTTGAGCTTTATGTCATTCCTTTGAGAAAACAAGGACTGTTTAAAGGTACTTTCTGTGAGAGTTCAGCAAGAATTTTATGCTTATATTGGTAACATGGCTTTATGCCCACTGGAGAGTTATTAAAGTCATTATAACAGTACTTACATCATTCATCTTTGTCTGCAAGTCCCATTTCTACTAATGACATATGAACTGGATAATGTTCATCTTCATACAAAGTGACTATTTGTTCTGGAGCCTGAGCCTAAAATGAAAAGATATAGCTGTCAATAAGTGTCTTCTGCATTTTCTCTCCTACATCTGGTTACTTTGGAAGTAAAAGACATTAAGTTTATGATATGTGAACTATTCATTCATAAAGTATTTGTGATGGTTTCACATCTTTTTATGTGAAAAAGTTCCATTCAAAAGTCCCATTCTTTTCATGTTGTTTTCCTAGATGGGGCCAATAGACTTTATTACACTTTGTGTTAAAATTCATAAAGTATTATGTATGCTGTGCATGAACTGACCAAATTTTGAACATTACTGTCAAAAGTGAATGTGTGTGTGTTTACACTAACTTGCCCTGTGTATTATTTTCAGTGGCTTCAGAGAAGGTGTGCAGTTATTTATGCCCCTCTACACATACTAAAAACATGACAGGTAAAGATATTTTTCAAAAGCACTTTCTACTGAGAGCACTGTTTCATTAGGTTCTTTGTATTGGAATGGGGAAGAGGCTGGGGGGAGGGCTCCCAAGTAATGTTCAGGGTATGGGGCTTACTCCTAGCAGTCCAGAGATTTGGTGCTAGGGACCTCTAATCAAACTTAGTCCCTAGGTTTTTTCTTTTTAAAAGCCATATCCAGCAGTGTTCAGCACTTTCTTCTGTTTCTGTGCAGAGATCACTCCTGGCAGGGCTTGGGAGATCTTACGTGGTGCTAGGATCAAACCTGGGTTGGTCATGTACAATGCAAGCACCTTATTCTATCTCTCTAGTCCAGAATTCATTCTTTCCATTTTAAAATATATTCAGAGATACCATGACTTAGAACAGTACTGATGTTACTGTTTTAGGCTTACAGTGCTACTATTCCACATGGCTGGAGTGTCACTCTCCTTCACTAGATCTTAACTGGTAGCCTCAGTTCCATTGGCAGTAGCAGGCTTTGTTTTCACTGGTCATATCTGTTCCTTTGCTTTGTTTCTTAATACTCTACATATCAGTTAGTTAGCACACATATCATAACTTAGGTTCCCAAACTTCTGTGGCTCACTATCTTTTTTTTTCAGAAAAAAAATATTCAGAGGGGCTGGCAATCCGGGTTTGATTCCCAGCATCCCATATGGTCCCTGGGACACCGCCAGGAGTAATTCCTGAGTGCAGAGTCAGGAGTAACCTCTGTTCATTGCCAGGTGTGACCCAAAAAGCAAAAAAAAAATTAAATAAATAAATTATTCAGCATCCCCTGGAAATGTGCCTTTAAGTGAACAAAGCCTATCTTAATCACATCTGCACTGTGCTTGCTGCCCTGGCCTCCAACCCTTCTGGCCTCCTTGGGGCATGGCACTGCTGACTTTCGGAAATGTTAAATTAGACCAACTGGACAAAATGCTCATTCTTGACATAGCCAGTACCATCAGGAACCCCCAAATTTTGGGTTCCCAAATCAGAGGAGATTGGCATTGAATAACAGTGGTGAGGAATCTGGTGAATTGGTGTTATATATCTAGCAGACTACTGTTTTGGAAGGCAGATCTAACGTTCCTAGATTTTATCATATTTAACTAGAAGTCAAATACTTCCTGGGTAAAATTGTCCTATTTAAAAAAACTTCGAAATGAAACAAGTACAAGTCAGCTTCTGCTGTAGGCTACCCCGCTTATGATTTTTTTTTCTTTTTGGGTCACACCCGGCAATGCTCAGGGGTTACTCCTGGCTCATGCACTCAGGAATTACTCCTGGCAGTGCTCGGGGGACCATACGGGATGCTGGGAATTGAACCTGGGTTGGCCATGTTGGCTGCGTGCAAGGCAAACGCCCTACCCACTGTGCTATTGCTCCAGGCCCCCACTTATGATATTTAAAACCTCTAAACAAAGAATACTTACATTGAACATCATTTGGAGTTGTTTTGGGGGGAGGTCCCCAAGAAAATGATGGGGGTTTGGAAGCCAGGTCCAGCTTGTAGGGTTCAGTGGGTTGAGGGGTTCAGTGTTCGGGTCTGGTGGTTTAGTGTTGCATGGGCC